AGTGAATAATCCATTCTTTCTTCACTGAACTGAAATGATATATTTCTTATACTATGTGTGTTTTAGGCTTTTCTGCTTTCTTCTGTTAATTGACCTATACTGAAGTCAGTATCAAACTATTATAATTTTATGGCTTAATAATACTTCAAATGCCTAGTAGAAAAAGTCTTACTACACTTCTTTTCACAAATAGCTTGGCCTTGTAACACATTTTATTCCTCCAGATAAACTTTAGGATTATTTTATCAATACTTTGTTTAGATTGTAAATTTATGGAATTCATTGGGGGGAAACTGAAATTTTGCAATATTAAACCTCATTTAGGAGCCTGGAACATATTTTCATTTGATGCAAGTCTTCTCTAACATACCTCAAAGGATTCTTTATTTTGTTCATATAGATTCCTCAATCCTTGCTATATAAAGTGTAAAAACTTCTACATTCTCCTACTCAGGACGGTTGAGATCTGGATTGCTATTTCAAGCCAGTCCTATAAGGAAAGTCTGAGGGCCTCTTATTTCCAGTTAACCAGCAAAAAGCTAGACGTAGCTGTGGCTCTATTAGTAGAGCTCCAGCCTTGAGTGAAAAAGCTAAGAAATAACACCTAAGCCTTGAGCTTCAGCTCCAGGACTTGCACATGAAAAGAAGTTCTACGTTCTCTCTAGGTTAATAGTGGAAATGATAGAGTGACTATTTCTTCATTTATTTGATGAAGAGTGTGTAACTCCCTTGCCTTACCTCTGGCCCTCCAAATGTATTTTAGAATGAACAAATGAAAAGAACCTTAACCCAACATTGACTTCAACTTCTACTGCATAGAAACACTAGGGGATGACCTCCCCCCATCACACACACACACACACACACACACACACACACACACAATTAGGCAACTTACAAAGTCTGTAGATTAAAAAAGAAATCCAAAGGCGGCCCCATAGTCTCAGTTCATGCTGGGGCTTTGAAGGGTCCTTAAGGTTTATGATGAAGGAATAGGACCATGAAGAAAGACACAGAGCACCATCAGGCAGTCAAGAATTTTCAGAGCCAAACTGAGTGCACCATATCTCATGCCAGCCTATTCTGTGATCACTTAAAATAGTCAAACGTTTAAGGTGGTTACAAAGAATTTAACTGAGTTTAGAACTCTCCTGTGGCCTAGAATATTTTAGCATAAGGGAAGGTTTTTGTATTTTGCCAGCCATTACACAATACCATTTTGTGAATCTTGATTATAGGTTGTTGATAGTATGTTACAGTTGAAATTCAACCATGTCAATGAGCTGAGTTAATTTCTTGTAGGAGAGCTGCATAGGACTTTGTATCCTCTATACTATTATTCAGTAACCTAGATGACAGCGTGGAACCATGGGACCTTCTAGAACTACCTTGGGGCAATCTCGGGCCCCAATTACACACTTCACTGACAACTAAGTATAGAGAAGGTACTCACAGGGCCATGGTACCTGTGAAGGGGAATAAAAAGGGTAATAGGGGTTTGAAGTTGATCAAAGTATATCATGCATGTGTGGAATATCACAATTAAATCATTTTGTAACATTAATATTGCATTTAAAAACCATGCTTTGACACTCTCAGAATGCTTTATCTTAAGACTATAACCACCCACAATCATGTCTCCATTGGATGCAGCTGCCAGATTTGGAACTGGCTCTACCACCATTTCACAACTGAAGAATCAAATAACATATTGAAGCTCTATAGAACTCAGAGGTTCTGTGTTTCTACTAAGATCTGATGGGTCAGAGATTGTAGACAAAAAATGAGTTTCTAGAAGGAAGAGTCTTGGAATCTAGAGATGTAATGGGCTGAGAAAGACAGAGCAACCACCTTGCAATGGTGCTACAGAGATGATTCAAGCCTTATGTGGAGGAGTATGAGTGATATAATCAGTGCTTAAAACTCTTTCTAAAGTCTTAGATTCATAGCCATATTATAGATTGTGATTTAGAGAAAACCAAGGATATTATGCCAGGCTGGTCAATAGCCCTGATGAACATAGATTGCAAAAAATTCCTTAATAAAATACTGGTAAACCAAATTCAACAGCATACTAAAAAGACAATTCACCATTATCAAATGGGATTTATTCTTGGGATGCAAGAATAGTTCAACATCTGCAGCTCAGTAAATTTAATATATCACATCAACAGAATGAAAGACAAAAACAGATGATCATCTTAGTAGAGTCAGAAAAAAAGCCCTTGACAATATTCAACATATTCTCATGATAAAAACTTTCAACAAGTTGTATATAAAAGGAATGTTCTGCAACACAAAATAAAGACCATATATGATAAACCTATAGTTGAATCATAATCAACTGTGACAAGCTTTCAGTACTTCCTCTAAGATCAGTAAAGACATGAAGATATCCACTTTCAGCACTTGTATTCAACAACAGAAACAAACCTATTAGCATATTGGGTGTTCTGTCTATATAAATGGAATCCTTTGGTAGAAAGAGTATCCATTTAGGTAGAAAGAGTACTGGCCATAGCCAGGCATCAGTGGGTCATGCTTGTAATCCTAGCTACACAGGAGCCAGAGACCTGAAGGACTACTGTTGAATATCAGTCAAGGCAGAAAAGTTCTTGAAACTCCAACTCCAGCTAACCAGCAAAATGCTGGATTGGAGGCAAGGCTCAAGTGGTAGAGCACATTCTGTGAGCAAGCCAATCAAATGTAAGGCCCTTAGTTCAAGTTCTGGTACCAGTACAAAAGAAAAAAAAAGCAAAAAGAAAGACAGCTGGTCAGGAGGCCATGGTGTTCTCATTTGATAAATGAATGTGATCAGAGTCTCTAGCTCAGAGTTCTGGTGCATTTTACTCAGAGTGTATGTAAACCCCTCACACAGGCCTAGTTTGTAATAGGTGCCCCGTGAATGACAGTATTCTCTTCAAAGGCATTTAATTTGGTAAGATTCTTTATACAAGTCACTGTCCCCGAATTCATCCTTGAAATGAAAGGACTATCAGTGTGATTTTTAACAATGCCTTTATACCCACTATTTTGGAATCCTTTGACAAAAGGAGGAAAGAAAGAAGATATGGAAAGACAAGGAATGAGGATAGAAAACAAAAAAGGGAGAGAAGGAAAAAAAAGTCTTTTATGAGAGTAAAGGTAACCCTGTGTTTCTGCAAGTAGCTTTTGAAAGCAGTGCTTTGCTGACATGTTTACTCTTGAATCTCCCACATAAAATAACCTCCTATAATGGATGCTTTTCTGCAACTAATCTATACATTTGAACACAGTGAAGGGAGAAAAACTGAGCTATAACTCAATTTATTTGGTTGTGGAGATGTTTTTCCTCTACCAAGTAGCAAGCACACTTTTTTTTTTTTTTTTTTTGGGTAGGTCGTGGGGCTTGAACTCTGGGCCTGGGCGCTGTCCCTCAGCTCTTCAGCTCAAGGCAAGCTCTCTACCACTTGAGCTACAGTGCCACTTCCAGTTTTCTGGTGGTTTTTATTGGAGATAGGAGTCTCACCGTCTCTCCTGCCCTAGCTGGCTTTGAACCGCGATCCTCAAATCTCAGCCTCCTGAGTAGCTAGGATTACAGGCGTGAGTCACCAGTGCCCGGCTCACTCTTTCATTTTTTTTTGTTTGTATTTTTCCCACCATAACAACATTCCTCCTCAGCCAGAATAAACTTCCCCCAAATCTCAATCTATCTATAGTAGTATATATGAGAGGAAAATGCCAAGGTCTTGAAGAATGAAAAGGCAGAGGAGAATATAGAGGCTCAGGCCAGAACAGGGCTATGCACATGAGAAGTTCGGCTGTTTCAGAGAAGCTAAAGATATTTTTGTCTATAAATGTTGGTAACTCTTGTTTGCCTACATATTCCTCTGTTCCATGTGTGTATTCAGTGTGTGTCCCTGTTTATTGAGAGCATACTCCATACCAGGATTGTATAGGATGCAAAAGAACAAAATATTGAGCAAATCATCTGTTTCTGGGTGGACCTCCATGTCTTTCTTTGAGTAGCTATCATCGTGATATCCAAAGAACTTTCATGCTTGCATGCATGTGTATGTACATGCATGTGCATGTATGTCTTTTTGGTTTTTGTCAATCGTGGGGCCTGAACTCTGGGCCTGGGTACTGTCCCTGAGCTCTTCAGCTTAAGGCTAGTGCTCTACCACTAGAGCCACAGCACCACTTCCAGCTTTTTCTGTTTATGTGGTGGTAAGGAATCGAACTCAGGGCCTCATGCATGCAAGGCAAGCACTCTACCACTGAGCCACCTTCCCAGCCCAACATGTATGTATTTTTGTCTGAGTTATCTGTGATAACTCCAGCTGTGCACAATGGTGATCTTTGTTCTCCTACTGGCTTTGCAATACTTCCTTTTGTTGCTATGACTCACCATAAAAAAGTAGACTTTATCTCTTTACAAAATTTGAATTTTGTAACTCACAGGATTGGGAGTGTGTTCACTAGCAATTTAAACAGTCAAGGATATCAAAGATTTCTTTCTATGGAAGTTTTGTCTGCACAGGTGTTACGAAAAAAAGTACAATTTTATGCATGATTACAAGTGTCGGTAGAAGGATACATCTGGACCATGGTAAAAAGAGTGATAATTTCCTCAACTGATTGTTTTCTCTTGGGAATTTTCATCTTTTACTCAAGATTGAGCATCCTACTGTGAAAAAAAGTAGTGAGTTGTCCTAATAATGTAAGTATCAGCAGAATCTGAATTGTTTCCCTAGACAAAAAATAAAGCACCTATGAAATCTGAGTATATAGTAGAGAATTAAATGACTGCTTTTAATAGATCCTGTGTGATCAAATTGTTTAATGCCATTGTCCATCCATTTCTACCATAAATACACACACACACACACACACACACACACACACACACACACACACACACACATACACACACACACACCTCCATGCCTTCTCGCCTAGAAAATCTCAAAGAATTTGGAAACACATTAACAAGTCTGTTATTCTTATTCTTTATATAGGAAAACAGAAGTACCTGTGTGCTAGCAGAAATGATTGTACCATTGATAAATTTCGAAGGAAAAATTGTCCATCTTGCCGTCTTCGGAAATGCTATGAAGCAGGAATGACTTTGGGAGGTATGATACTTTCCTTTCTCATAGTCTCCCCCTCCTCCCCCACCTGAATGTTTAAACCTGATTTCTCTCTATGATTCAGCCAATAGGACCAGCAATGCAGGCTGAGCTTTTCAAATACAATGTGGCTATCAGAGAGCTTGTGCCTTTTTATCCTTAAACATACCACTCCTTATTCTTGGCTTCAGCATAGGAACAGGAGCAGCATAGAAGCAGGAAACACAAGCCAACAGAGGGTAAGATTGGATATGAGGAACAGAGATCTCCAGCGAGTATAATGGTACTGGCCTGATGCTGTTTAAGGGAAGCTAAAATAAACTACCTAAGGACTTGAGATCAGTAACAGGTGCAGGATGACCCAGGCACAGGCAGGCCGTGAATAACCAGGAGTATCCTACGGCTAACTGTTGTGTATGTTGTAGAGCGAGCCACCTGGAATGAAAAACTACCTCTCCTTTCAGCCTACTAAATTGCCAAACAGAGATAATTTCCTATCCTACATCTTCCAGGGATGTGCAGACCTTTTAATCATTTCCTTTTATTTACAATCCTATTGATCATTTCCAAAAGCATTTTAGTAGTGCTGTCACTCAATAGAAGGAAGATATATCTCTTTCAAGCATGACCCTCTATCATAAGGCTCTCTATCCCCTGAGCCTGTGTCTACCATGAACACTGTCACCATTCCAGAATGGCTTAACACCAGTTGACTGACACTTAATTTTCCCTCTCCAAACTCCTCATCTGTTCATATTTATATCGGTCCAGTGCCAGGGGCCTCCCTGTGCCTGCTGCTTCCTAAAAGACACATCTTTCATTAGAAAAGCAAGCTCATTAGTCTACTTTGATTTAGAAATGGAACTTGAAGAAAAAGCAAATCCATTTCTGAGTGCCTGAAAACTGTAGTCTCATACCTGAATATTCATTATCAGCTTGGAAAACCCAAGTACCTGGAATGAATCCAACCCCTTCTCCAATCTCTAAACTCTAATTTAAAGCAATTGTTTACCTTTGGTTTTCTATGGAGTATTTAATACCTCATCTGCCTATGTGTGCATTTAAAGACACCAACTTATTTTCTAAGTCTGGAGTAAGGCCACCTAGATTTTTATGTAGATAATTATATCCTCCCCTCCCCCACAGGCTGGTAGTATTCTTTATGCACATGAAATTTCCACAAATGGATTGACCCAGGCTCAATCTGACTGCGTTTCAACAGCAGCATCTCAAGCATTGTCTAGTAATTTTACCTATCATGGGCAGATGCCCTAGGAAGGCCTTCCCAAACAACCACATTGACACTCAAATATTTGAGATAAATCACCTTTGATTTTGCTTGTTCATTGTATTCCAAAGAAATCCCACAACTGTTTTATAGTAAAGAAGAAGACAAGATGGGACAGCAAAGAGTTGACACTCAAATATTTGAGATAAATCACCTTTGATTTTGCTTGTTCATTGTATTCCAAAGAAATCCCACAACTGTTTTATAGTAAAGAAGAAGACAAGATGGGACAGCAAAGAGGAGTTTTCTCCATATAAAGGTTGCAAGTCTAGGAAAAGGTTCTGATATACTCACCTCTCAATTATCTAGCTTCATATGAATGATATGTAAGGTACTGGATTTCAGAAGAAGAACCCTATGGTTTGCCACCTGCTGAAATGAATTTTAAGCCCACTTTGCTACAGGTAAAGTTTCTCAGTCAGAAAAGTCCTTATTATATTTAGGTACAAATCTTAATACATTACTTCCATGTTTTGGATCATATCCTCGAATATAAAGGTGTGGTGGTACACACTTGTAATCCCAATCCTCAGGAGGCTAAAGTAGGAGGATCAAGAGTTTGATAACAGCCTAGATGACAGAGCAATTTGAGGCAAGTCTGGGCTGTATAGTAAGGCTATGCTTCAGAAAGGGAGGAATGGAGGGATGGGAGAGGGAAGGAAGGAAGGAAGGAAGGAAGGAAGGGAGGAAGGAAGGAAGGAAGGAAGGAAGGAAGGAAGGAAGGAAGGAAGGAAGGAAGGAAGGAAGGAAGGAAGGAAGGGAGAAAGGAAGGAAGGGACTTGTGAACTTACTATAGTAATGTTACTTTACAAAAGGAGCCTATGTATAAAAGACATTTTCACTGTACTATATAGCAGTCAAACATAAATTTGTACATTAATTTATTGGAAAAGATGTGGCACAATAAGTTTCCACATTGGTTCCCCAGATTCTTGATAACTTTGCCATTGGAGTCAGACAGACGTAAGTTAAAATTCAGCTCCATTATTTATTGTTTGCTCCCCCTGACCCTCCATTTGTTCACCTGTAATCCTGAGACATCCTTGAAGAATTATTATGAGGATCAGGTAACAAGATGAATATGAACATCTTTGATAAATGACAATGTGTTCAATAAATATAGGGCATTTATAGGTACTTTACTTGAGCCAGGATCTTCATACTTCATCCTGAAGACTTTTACCTGAGTATCTGGCTTGCTCTATAACATACAACAGCTGCAACAGGCAGTGGGTTTAACCAGAAATCACCCTTGATCACCTCAAACTGAAAAACAACACTTGTATCCTGTATGGAAGGTGATTTTAAATTAAGTAAATGATATGTTGTACAAGTACTTTGTCAGTAAAAAAGAACCCTAACGTTTGTTCTCCTAAGCTACTGCTAGAAAAATAATTTTGTGCATTTCACTAAATATATTACCATATTCCCTGCCTTCTTGCCCAGATGTCTCCAAAGTTTGTTTGTTAACTTGCAAACTTAGTATATACCACCTCCTTCCTCAAACAACCAAGAAAAAAAGGCAAACGTGTATACATAGTAGCCCTGTGCATACTGTAACAATGAACTTCCATTGTCAAAACATTTGGTGTAGCATAGACAGATTGATCATCTTGCAGAAGAATTCATATCATTTCCTTCTCATCACTTCAATCAAAACCATCTAATATGTCCCAAAACAGCAACTTGGAATATGGCCACCGCAAGTCCCCTTTCTCCACTAAGGCTCAGTTTTCCCATCATAAAGTTGGGAACATTCATCAGCTCTTTCTTGTCTTGCTCCTAGAAATACAAATAGTTGAGACTTAAATGCTTTGATTTGCATAATAATTTTAGCTACCTTGCTCAATTCACACCTACATAAGATATATTAGATGTCTAAAAGTAGACTGAATAGATAGGCTGCTGAGGGAGTGGAGTGCAGAAAGGCTTTCTGGGAACCTTAGCAAACATGGCACTCTGCAACTTATGGTTGCTTGGTTGCTCAGTCTCAAGATCTCTAATCTGGGCTGAGCACTGATGGCTCGTGTTTGTACTTCTAGCTACTCAGGAAGCTAATAATTTGAAGTTACTCCTAGCAGGAAAAGTCTGTGAGACTTAATCTCCAATTAACCACTTAAATAATAATCTGGAAATAGAATGGATCTATGGTTTGAATGGTAGAGTGCTAGCGTTGAGCAAAAAAAGCTAAGGATCTGAAATCAAGGCCCAACACTGGCTCTATTGTATTGCATTCTCTGGTGATGGGAGCTCCGCAACTAACAGATGCTTGGTACATTATTGCCTTTTCCTCCTTGCTTTTTTATATATTTTTTATTGTGAAAATACTGTACAGAAGGGTTACAATTACATGGGCAAGATAATGAGTACATTTCTTGTCAAGCATTGTAGCCTTCTCCTTTGTTTCCCCTTCTCATCCCTTCCCATTCTCCCGCCACCCAATCCTCCTCCCCCCCATCAAAGTTGTAAAGTTCGTTTTTCTACATAACGAGTTGTACATCTCATTGTTGCAATGGGTCCACCTGTATCCCTATTTAAACGATTTGTTTTTCCCCTTCCCCTCCACAAATTATACTGATATCAAATACAGTGAAAGCAGGGGTTATACTGTGGGGGAGGGACATGCAAAGCAACAAAGAAATAATCTTATAAATGTGTTAGAAACAATCCCGTGAAAGAAAAAAAAACATTTGAATACATATCTTAGGGTTCATTTCCCTAACATCATCTTATCTGACCTTTTCTGCTTGACTCAGATATATACTAGATATTGCAAATAAGAGAAACCATGGGACCTATGTTTCTTTGGGCCTGGCTTACTTCACTCAATATAATTTTTTCCAAGCCTTTCCATTTCCTAACAAATGGGGCAATGTCATTCTTTCTGATGGAGGCATAGAATTCCATTGTGTATATAAACCACATTTTCTTGATCCATTCATCTACTGAGGGGCATCTGGGTTGGTTCCATATCTTAGCTATAGTAAATAATGCTGCAATAAACATAGTCATGCTGGTAGCTTTAGTGTGGTCTTGTTTGTAAACATTTGGGTAAATGCCCAAAAGTGAGATTGCTGGGTCATAGGGGAGCTCTATGTGAAGTCTTTTGAGGAACCTCCATACTGCTTTCCAAAGTGGTTGAACAAGTTTACACTCCCACCAACAATGCAGTAAGGTTCCCTTCTGTCCACATCCCCTCCAGCATCTGTTGTTATTAGAGTTCTTGATTTTAGCCATTCTAACTGGAGTGAGGTGGTATCTCAATGTTGTTTTGATTTGCATTTCTTTTATGGCTAGAGAGGTTGAGCATTTCTTCATGTGTCTATTGGCCATGCTTCTTTCTTCTTCAGAGAAGTTTCTCTTTAAGTCTTTAGCCCACTTATTTATTGGGCAGTTGTTTCTTTGAGGATTTGTTGTTGGGGATTTAATTTTTTGAGTTCCAAGTATATTTTGGATACGAAACCCTTGTCCGTTTTATGGCTAGTGAAGATCTCCCAATCTGTGGGCTTTCTATTGATCTTGCTAGCTATGTCCTTTGCCATGCAGAAGCTCTGCAATTTCATGCAATCCCATGCCTTTTCCTTCTTTCCATGCCTACCTACCTATCCAATTCCTTCCTTCTTTCCTTAGCAGATCTTCTTCTGAAAGGGTCTAATGGGTAGTGAGACTCTCAGGATGGGCCTCTAAAGACCACTTGCTGACTCTCAACTGTACGTCC